TTACATTTCGTCTGTCATGGGAGAAAAGAAACATGAAGAGATTGCATCTTTGGAGTAAAGAACAAGATTTTAATCTCACTATCTAATAAGAAACCAGCAAACAAGAGGACAGAATTCAACTGTGTTAAGATATCTAATTAGTTCATGAAGCATTTTACTGGAGTATAATTTTGCGTGTGTAACAAAGCAAAAGGTACTAATTAATTGCAACTCATTAAGTGCAAGTTATTTAATAATTAGGAAAAATGAATGCAGGCATGGCAATGCAGGTTGGTACAGACAAGAATTCCATATAGCTGAGTGTTGCGTTTCCAACAGCAGCCAGTCTGCTCAAGAAGCAGAGGAGTAATTTGAAATTCAGTCTTTACCCATGAGGTCAACTTTTTTTTCCCAACTTTTCTGAAAGAAATCTTAAAGGACAAAGATAATGAATGCCTTCGCAACAAATTACTGGATTAGACAATTAGTGTCTGTCTCCACCCATGAGCAATTAAAACTTCATGTTCTATGTATAAAAAGCATTGCTATCCCATGTAGAGTGCTCATGGATATATAAATCATCCATATTCATGATCTCATCTTTTAGAGTTCTGCTAATACTTATGCAGAATCAAGGTAAGTCAGTCATACTCATCTCTTTGTAAATCGTATGCTTCTTAGGGAATCAGAAACAAACATCCCAAGTAAGATTTTAATAGCATAATATTTTCAAAATTTGCTCTTTACCCAGGGAAAGTTTGCCGAGGAGGGGAGAGTTAAAAAATCACTGCACATACTAGGATAGAAAGAGACTGAAAGCAAAGGGACCACAAGCAAAGTGGTCATAGGCAAAGATTTCCTAGAACAGCAGCTTTCAGCGAAGTCTCACATGACAATGAATCACTCATCCCCTACAACTGTCTGCTGGGGATTTTTAAGTCTTTACCACAGCACCATACAGTGACTGACCATAAAACCCAGTATAAGGTAAGACAGTGATACACCATTTTATTTGGTGGTAATTGTAGAAAAAATGATTTTCTACAAAAGCAGGCACCAAATTCTGGGAAAGTCTGGGCCTGGAATTTGCAGCTCAGTTATGGCTTAACTAATAATAGCTAACACAAGTGTAAAAGTCACATGAGAAACAGAGTTTCCTTCCCACAGTGCCACTGGTGAAGCATACAAAAGGAAAACCAAAAAAGTCTGAAAACTTCACACAAGTAAATTTTTTTCTTTGTACTGAATGGACACGCTGTACTCCCACTGCTTCACAAAGGAAGTTAAGAGCTTCTTTATATGTCAAGCCTACTCCGTTTTTCTCAACAAAATACAAATGAAAGGGCCATGTCAATTATTAACAGATGACAACAGAGAGCTAGTCAGGTATTTCAAACACTTGTGTCTCTTCTTCCCACATGAATTCCTCAACAGTAAATGCAAACTCAGTCTTCTTACTACTTTCATCATTTAAATCCATAATTAGAGACTATTAAATAACTTGTTGAGAAGTAAAGGCTTTTTTACATTCCTTCCTCTCTCCTTTCTTTCTCTGGGAGAGCATTTGACCTGACTGTCAGTGACAGGGTGACGGGGGGGACTTCATGTTCTGAAAGGCACTTGCAAGTGAATCAAGTCAGAGCCTTTTCCCCTCTTAATACTTTTTAGTACTGCAAGCTCATGTGGAAAATCATGCAATCCAGTGGAAACAGAGACACTAGGTATATAATGGAGAAATCTGAAAACAGACTAAAACTTTAGTTGTGTTATGATGTTAACCATCATCTTATGTTGAAAATAAGTCTTGTTTATTATAAATGCTTTGGCCAGGCTCTTCTCCCCCATCTCCCTCCCATCCCCAAACTTCACCAACAAAGAGGTGAACAGGACACCACCACATGAATCCAGCACCACTGCTTGACAGCATGCTTGCTATTTACACATAAGTACAAACTTAACACTGCTTCAGTCCATTCACATCATTTAACTCAAATAAATTCTAAATTTGTCAAAGAATCTCTGCAAACCCAATGTAATCAATAAAAGTGAAATAATATAACTTAGTATCAGTGCAACTGAAAGATAATTGAGAAGTATCGTAGGAAAACCTGTCAAGATTAGAATTACCATAGTAAACTTTAAAATGGCAAACTTTTTGACAATTTTGAAAAATAATCCATATGATCCTAAGTAAGCATGTACTTTTCTATTTACTTCAAAATTTAAATCCATAAATTCTAAACTTTCATCAGCTAAAAGAGCCATTTCAAATAGTATGGTAAAAGCGCAGCATCTGACATAACATGGACTGGGGGAATCAAGTTTCCCATAGTGGAACAGGTAGCTCCTAGTAATGCCACAGGGAATTACCTGCAAAAACATAAACCAGAATAATCTCTTTGGTTTGGATTTGACTGAGCTTCACACATACACTGTTTATTCTGACTGCCATAAAAATGGACAAAAGCAGCACACACATTAGCAGCAGCTCCTGCTTAAAAACAAGAAGCACAGCACATTTTCCCCTCAGCCAGCTCCCCGCTGAAAGTATTCCAGACTAAGCCACAAAAACTTAACAGTGAGCTTTCGAATGACAGGACATCATGTGCTCCATCAGTCAAGTACTTACAAGGTTTCTTAAACAAATTGATCATGCCTACAATTTCAGACGAAGTCAGAGAAACTCCAGACTTGATCTTCTCTGAGGAAGAAACAAAAGCCATGAAATCACCAAAGAGAAGGGCTTGTTTGCCTTTTTTTTTGTTACTGTTTTTAAGAGAACTCTGAAGGACATATTGTAATGTGATAGGAAGCTTGCAGGAACAGCCTTACAAATAAGGCTGGAAGTGTACTTCAGCACCCTGTTCTTAGTTAGCGCTCTCTCTGGGGAAAATGCTAAGGGAGGTTTTAACTAGCAAGAGTCAAGGTGATTTCAGACTGATAGCTAAGACCTCCCAGGTGATCTTACATTTGGTACATTAGTTTATATAATTGCTTTTTGCTCAGTTTTCCCCAGCTACAAAGCCAAAAATAGCTTACTTGTCCGACAAGGGAAATAAGGTATACTGGGGATATTGGGCAACCCTTTATAGGTGTTATGAATAACAGCAGTGGTTTTAAAAAAGTAAGAAAATTCCTGACATTATAGTATTATCCATATTTTTACTTTTATAAGAACAATTTAATGTCAATAGCTACCATGAAATCAGGAGGCTGCATTTTCCAAGAAAGTTTGTGCCAGACATTAGTATTTTCTGAAGCATCCTATAGTACCATGAAATGGAGACAAGCATTAAGCAGACTTTATTATTCACCATAAAAGAAGCAACAATGATGCAAATTCCTCTAAGAAAGCAATAAAATTTTGAATATAAAACCCCAAAAAGGCTTCATTATGCAGTTCTCAGTCAACACCAGCTGAGCCAAAGCCTACTACAGTACTTCTCTGTGCTCTGGATAAAACTTCCCATGGATCCAGTAGCTCCACTCGCAGAGGTGCCAGTCTTCTACAAATACACATTTGCAATAGGATTTAAGGGAAAATATACCCAGTAAAGCTAGGCTCTCAGATCTGTAGTTTGGCATACAAATGGAGGTCTAATTTTCAATTCTCTTGGGAACCAGGTAGCTTATCATGCAGTAAAATCCACAAAAGGAAATTAATGTTTTAATGATGTCTTTTCAATTCTTGCATGGTGTTTGTTCAAAATCATGTATTACAAGTTTTACCCAAAGACCAACAACAAGTGTTTATGCTTACGCTTTCACATCCTGATGGTGTTAATACCAAAAAGTGCTTCTCATGAAATTCAAGATCTAGAGAAAGATTATACTTTCTCAATGTGAAATAAAAATTTATGGTTTTTATCCAGTTTCAACAGAGGTCCTTGGCATTTTCATATCCATTGCAGAGACTTTTTAAGTCAGAAGATAAAGCCTTTAACAGAGGAAAATTTTGATTAATCTGTTGTACACAGTGCATTTACTAATATCTGATTTCTCAAATCTCTGCTAGGTCAATTAAAAAAAGTGTATTTGGAAAAACATTGAACAATCTTAGGCTGCTTAGCGACCCCTTCTTTCTAAGCACTGGAAATACAGACATATAGAATAATTTGCATAAAACACAGACAAATGGGACTGAACTGTAAATGAGAGAAGATAAAATAAAAAGCTTGAGAGTAATATCCCCCTGTTGCTTTCTCCTCTGAGGTATCTCATGCCAAATTTTTTTTTTGGTAGATATATCAAGATTTATGTGTTATAATGACTTTAGCGACTTCTTTTTTAGAGACACATTTTATTTCACTAATGAAACATTCTCAGGAACCAAGAGAATCACTTCCGCCCAATTTCATTTTAATTAAAAAGAGCTAAAAAAAAGAATAGGAAGATGAAACTACTTTGGTTTGACAAAATGCATGGCTTTTTGACCCATCTATAAGGGCTGCTTATGCCACTCTAGCAGCTGACAGACCAAGATTCTCTGCAGTCCATAAATCAGCTCACGCAGCCCCCTCAAGCCTTCCTCCCACAGTGCTGCACTACATCTAGCATCCCTCCAAATAACTAGCAAGCCAGGATTAATTCAGACCATGAGAGCTTACAGAAGGGCTCAGGATCATCAGAAAGACTGCACAGGTACCTAAGCAGAAACTGTGGATCATAGCTGTGGTCACTTCCCTGAGTACATTCTGCAGCTATTCAGGTCCTTTGCAGTCTTTTCACTCCAAACCCCATGACTAAGATCCACCTTGAAAACCAACAGATGGACATCACAATATTGAAAAGCATAGGTGTCAAGGGGTACCTCTTGCAGGGATAACATAATCTACCATCAATGTTGGAGATGCCTGAATGACCATGAAACAGCCTCCTAGGTGAGGACAATTAGTACCATTTAATCATCACACAAGGTTATCAAAGGACTTTTCGTAGCAACAGCTGAGAAGCAGCATCACTCAGACAACAGACATGAAGGTAAGTGGTGGACAATCTGGCAATG